GCACCAAATGCCGGTGCCGATGTGTACCTTTATTGAAAACAATGGTTTCAAATTTCTGGCCGCTGCACGATGCAACACAGTGTGTCCAGTGGCCTTTAGAGGGAAGGGTCACTGCAATTTAGCATAATACTGATTATTATAGTTATTCTGACTGAATGAAACATTTCTACCCAGGATAACTATGCACCCATCCAAAGGGCACATGGGGTCATGAGTATGAAAATGAGATAAAGCATGTGCTATGGCCTTCACAGTTACCCGATCTCAACCCAGTTGAAAATCTGTGGGAGATTTTGTATCACCATGTAAGACAGTGCTCTCCACAATTGTCTATTGCTTCTCTTGTTATCTTCATTGAGTGAATATACTCATAAATTTTTTATATTTTAATAAAAAATATATTTTAGACAAGCAGCCCTGAGGCTAATGTCTCACTACTTAACCTCTTGATGAACAGACCATTACTTTAATCAAGGAAAGCATTCACAAACAAAGCAAGAGGAAAAACAGATGTAGACATAGTGGACAAGTTAAAGAAACAGAACAGAAAATGACAGAAGAAAAGATAAAGATTAGCAGAAGAAAGAAAAAAGTTCTAGGTTCTAGCAAGTATGCGAACATCCTGAGATCTGCATATGCAGTCAACCTTCACAATAGAGACATCATGAAACAATACGATCATTAGCAGCGTGAAAAATGAAATGGCTGTCTGCGCGACCTCCGCCCGTCTGAGCTAATCACGCTGTCGTTTGCGGTCTGCTGGGAGAACAGTGGGCCAATCATGAAACTGCAGCTAAATTCCAGCAGCGTGTCAGCGTCGAACGAGAAAGTAATGGTGGTCTTTTTTTTCCCCCCTCAGCGAAATCTCTTTTGAAATAAATACAGGATCATCTCTGGGGCTAATGCGCGTAAATCAATGTGCGGGTTATGACTCTGCACTCATTCTTTTTCTCTCTCTCGCCCGCTCCCTCTCTCACTCCATCACTTTTTAACTAACAAGGCTCATCTTCTTACTCATAAGAGGACGATGATGAGTCAGCGAAAACAGCAAGCGTCTCAGAGGGAGGCTGAGAGGGAGGGAAAATCCATCCATTTTTGCTCTAAAGTATGTATGTAGGGCCCTAGGGAGTATTCCATTTCTCTTATTCTCTCCCCCTCTCTTTCTCTTTACCATGCATGTAACCGAGCAAAGTTGATATGTAGGCTGTTACACTGGAAGCCACAGAGCTGTTGTGCTTCTGACGATCTGCTCAGGGCATATGTCTGTGTTTAGATCACTTGAAAGAACATGGAGTTATGATAGTCTGTAGAAAAGGTGAACAGGTGCAGCACTGCTAAGTAACATGCTAAGTGGCCTCTGCTAAGGCTCAGACACATCGCTAGTTGGGCAAAAAAGTGAAATCAACCCCTGAGACATGTTTAGTGCCAGAAGTTCTTCGGTCAAAAAAGTTTAGTGCCAGAAGTTCTTCACTCAAAAAAATAGCACATTCCATGCTGGTCTAAGCTTGTTTATGCTGGTTTATGCTGGTTTGGTGCTGGTCTAGCTGGACACCGAGCATGAGCTTGCAGCTGACCAGCATACCAGCATCCAAAACACAACATATGCTAGTTTTGCTGGTGACCAGCTATGCTTGCCTGAGCTGTTTTTTTTTTTCTTGGGAGCTCAAGCTGGTAAAGGTGGTAGACCAGCTTAGCTGCTTCACTAGCGTAGAGTATGTTTTTGTTTGAGTTTGGTGGTTTAGCTGGTCTGCTAGCAGCACTACTACTAGCTTGACCATGCTGGTTGGCCAGCCAGTGTATGTTTTCACCTGACCAACTTGTCAACCACCTGGACCATCAAAGACAAGCTTAGACCATCTGAAACCAGCTACCAGTGAAAGCTGGATTTTTTAGCAGAGATAACATCACATCAACACAGTTGCTGACACCGGCAACAGTAATACAGCATCACTTATTAAATTAGGTTGGCTTTAGATCAGTCAACATATTGATGAAGTAGTTGGTTAAATCTATAAAATTGACACTAAAGTTTTAACTTTAAGTTTTGAGAAGGTAAATAGATCATAAGTTAAAAATGAACCTGAGCTTGACATTTATCGGCACTCACTGCAGCGCATTTTACAGCATTGCAGCAATTTATACTGTATCTGCTACGTGATGGTACGTACTAATGTAAGCAGGCTAGCTTATTGCTAACAATACTTGCTTTCATGGCGGCATCCATGTTTTTTTCCACTTTGTAGTTCTAACATGTGGAGGATAGAAATGATATAATTCTGAGCTCTGACATCCCACTTTAGAGTCAAATATAGCATCAGGCATGTAGCTTGCACGATTTTAATGATTACCTTGCTAGAAAAACCAGCATAGACCAAAATGTCTAGTCAAACCCAGCATATGTTGTGTGCTGGGTGACCAGGTAAACCAGCACAGGACCAGCATAAACCAGCTAAGACCAGCATGCTGGTTGGTGCCATTCTATTTCCATTGCTTTTTAGCTACATTAGCATCATAGCTCCATTGCTTAAGTACAGAAGCAAACTTCAGATAAAAAAATGTCTTGGCTGATCAGCAGCACTGAGGAGAGTGGTGCACTGGATTTACATCATTCAAATGTGTACATCATTTCCACATGAATGAAATATATAACACCAAGACTGTATTGATAGAAGATTTTATTTATGTGGAAACGATGTGCACATTTGAATCAAGTTAATTCTACACATTACATATTCACTGTATGGGCTATTTGGAGAAGGGGCAAAATGCACAAATATGATTTACACATTACTTGTTGCCCTGTATATGTGCTGTAGATCTGGAGTAACACATTACTGTCTCACACCCACGCGTGCAGTCATACACTGTGTTCTTCACATCATTAAATCTTTGTCTAGCGTTCTGTCTTTCGCTTCCCTGTCCTTCTTTTGTCCCATGATGTCCCTCTCTTTCTGCCCTGGCTGTCCCCCACCTCACTCTCTTTTCATCTTTCCTCACTCTTTCATCCTCTCTCTCATACTCTCTCTCTCTTTCTCTGTCATTCTTGCTATCCCTAAATATAGCCCTCTTTGAAGCAATCCCTGTTTTGTCTCCTACCAAAACACCCCAAGACAAAAATCTGTCAAATAATGTGTGAGTGTGTGTGTGTATGTGTGTGTGTGGGGGGATGCTTTTCTTTTCTTTTAGCACAAAATTTGGCATTCATTGAAAAAAACAAAACAAAAATCAAAAATCCCTTTAGGGTCATCTTGAGATGTAAGCATGTTGTTTTTAAGGATTAATGTTTTTAGGATTCTCAAGTCAGTAAAAATGTTGAAAAAAAATTGTTTTTGTGTTTTTTAAGTCATTTTTTTGTACTTTAATCAACAAAGTTTTGATGTGTACAACTCTGCAAAGCTGTGTTCGCTAGTCATGTACTGGCTATTTTCAAGATTAGCTTATATTGTCACTACCGTAACTTTCACTACCAAAACATTTGGTAAGGTTTCAGTAGTGTTATGGTTGTTTGGTTAGTGATATAATGGAATGTTGAATCATTTGTTTTGATAAAATAAGCATAATTAAGGTACAGAGTCACTCAAGGCAAAAGGATTTTAGTCTGAAGTCCAAGTCTCTTACAAGTCTGAACTGTGTTTTCAACTCTGAATTTGAACCACTTTGGTACTATGATCCATATATAATACATACAGGTACTTAGGTATAAATATAATGCATATGATACATATTATTACATGTAGTTGCTTTTTTTCTATATTTATAATTCATATGGGATACATTCCTATTACATACAGTTAATTACTTACATGTACAATATTTTGGGACACATTATTACATGTAGGTACGTACATGTATATATAATACATACGGGACATACTTATGCAATACATATGAGGCACAAGCACATGTGTATATATAACATGAGGCACATTATTGCATAGGTAGCTATATATCATATTGATAGGACATTATTAATACATATAGGTACTTACTTATGTATTACACATAGAGGACAAATGTGACCCTACGTCCTGAGATTGTATTAAAACAAACCACTGTGTGTGTGTGTGTGTTTGTGTGTGTGCGTGAGTGTGTGAGTGTGCATATGATAGCCCTAATCAGGGCTGTGATTGCCATCTGCCTCTGTTTGTAGAAAAGAGAGTCTGAGAGAGACTGATTACAAGAAAGCAGCATAAACGAAGAAAACTAAAGAAAGTATTAAGAAGACATGCGAAACGGAGCAGGGAATATATTTAGAAAGGTAGAAGGTGTGAAGAATGCACACAGGAGACTGCCACAGAGCTGTATGTTGTTGGAGAAAAAGAGGTGAGAGAGAAACAAATGGCGAGGGGGGGAAAAAGGATACAAAAGCAGAGAAAAGGAGGTGTAGTAGTATATATTTAGAGAGGGAAAGAGAAGGGGTGGCTGACATTTCTGATCCTCATTTTGTAATTGAATAATAATCTCCTACGGGACCTGACCTAGAATTGTAAATGTGTGTGAGACAGAGAGGGACTGTGTGTGACTGTGTGTGTGTTTCTACTACACAAAGAGAACGGACCAGTTTTGGCTAACGTAAAATGAAATACTGCCACCTACTGTTTGAGATGTGTCCTCACATGAATGCAGAATGAAAAATGAGCTGCCTCAATGTGCTCTGACAGAGTGCAGAAATAAAACTTCTTTTCTCTTCGAGCAGGACATATATTTTGTAAAGGTCAATGAGATAAATCATCCTCTCTCTCTGTATCCCTCGCGCTCTCTCTCTCGCTCGGACTAAATTTCAGGCTCTGACTCTGAGGACGCACTTTCTTGTTCTCATTTTCTCTCTCGCAATTTCCATATAATCCTATCTGCTCTCTTTGCCACGGCAAATTTAATTCCATTAATGTCACTTTGTCAAAGCGTCGTCTAAAGAGATGATAATGTAATCTCTTGAACTCGTCTAGTTGGGTTCAGCTCCTCAGTAATGTCCCCCTCTTTCTTTCTGTCTCTATGTGTAGCTTGCGGAGAGAGGGCTATACGGTGCAGGTCAACGTCAATGACTACCTGGACATTTACTGCCCACACTACAACCTGAGCCAGCGGGGGGCACTGGAGCGAGGCGTGGTCGAGCAGTACGTGCTCTACATGGTCAGTTACCGTGGCTACCGCACCTGCGACCCCCAGATGGGCTTCAAGCGCTGGGAGTGTAACAGGCCGCACGCCCCTCATGCGCCAATCAAGTTCTCGGAGAAGTTCCAACGCTACAGCGCCTTCTCGCTGGGCTACGAGTTTAATGTAGGCCACGAGTACTACTACATATGTAAGTATTTATTAGGACCATTTTCCTTGTTCCTCTACTCTAGAGCCACTCTAGGAAATCCCCCTAAAAGGGCTGATGTGAACAAAATATAACACTGCATTTATGCAATATCATTCAAACCTAAGAATGTTCTTTACCTCTCCTGTGAAGTTACCATTTTGGAGATACAAGAACAGTGGGCCTCATTCACCAACCATGCTTAAGAAGAAATTTCTTCTTAAAACCCACTTAAGCAGTTTTCACGAAGATTCTGACATTCATCAATGTTTACTTATTTGGGATTCGCTCTTAGGTAAGAAGAGTCTACACACAATCAAACAATTCTGCAGTTTAAGATCTGACGTAGACTTTTTCTTAAGACTTTTCTTAAAAACAAATTTGAGAAAAAACTTATTAGTGAATGAGGCCCAATGACGGTCTTAGAGAATGACCTGTACAACTGAACTGACACGATGGCAGCATCACTCTAGAAGTTTCTGCTGAGTCTGCCAAGGGAGAGCAGGAGCTATGAATGTTTCTCACCGTGTCTCACTGAGGTGGAGCTATGGTGTTTAGTTTTTATGTTTGGAGCTAAAAGTAAAACCACACCACACAGCATTCATTGTAGCTAACTTAGCAAGAACATAACTTAAGAAAATAGCCTTTTATGGTTCTGGTTCTTTGTGATATATATGTGGTTCCCATTGGTTTCACCAATACTCACACTGTCACATATGTAGCAGTGTTAGGAGCAAGGAAAGCATATATGTGCAGAGCAGCAGTACTGCAGGACCAGGGTTGGGAATTATGCCCCTACCCCAATCATCACTGGTCAGTTTCACAGAACCTGTGAATGAGCAGATATTATTTAGGTGGAGCATTCTCAACATAGACATGGTGACATGCTGGTGAGTGTGGTCACAATGTCAGTATTTTGTTAAGTGGTCCACCACTCAGCCAAGAGTGACTCTGTTGTCAGAACCTGACCATTGATTCCTAACACAGACTGTACATGACTACAGATGGGCTACAGTCTCTAACTATACACGAGTAAGGTGGACCTAAAAGTGGCTGGTGAGTGTAGCTCCATATTATTACTAAATATGTAACCAATATGACAACTACTGCATATTTAAATATTTGATGAAATACATAACTTTGTGTTATTGCTTAAGCTATGATTGATAATTGCATTAGCACTTCTGCGCCAGTGCTGGGTGAGGGTTGCCTGTTATTTCGTCAGGGCTACAAAATGTTGCCTTTTGATGTGGTGAATTACACATGGCAGTGTGTAAATATTCATTTAAACAATGAATAAAAAATAACTTAGCCCTGACACACAAATATGCCAAAAGCACTGCTAAAACCTCTTTCAAATATTATTTTAAGTGTCTCAAACTTAATAAAAACGTATTAATTCATTCCCATGGTTTGCTAACATCGTTATGTTACAAAAATAATGTGATATCCAATATTGCCCAGGAGTAGTGAAATAAACATTTGATATCTGAAAATTCAGTTTTTATGCAGTTTCATGGTCCTGAGTGCTCTAGATATAGTTTAGTGTAGTCTTAGCTCAGTCGTAGAGTCTTTTGTATGGAAAGCTTTTCAGAAAAAAGGTTTACAGTTTAGGTTGGACAGCTAAGCCTACATTGCTCACCAGAAAGTCTGTCGTTTCTCAGAATGGCTTTCAACTTGGCAGATCTTTTATAAAAAGCAAGTATAGAAACCTGTGCATTACAAATCTGTGTTTATTTACAACCACCTCATTCTGATTTGACAGCATTGTATCAGTGAAATAACTGTGTGTTATACCTTCTGCGATCAGGGATGGATTATGAATTGGGTCACTGGGCCAGTGCCCAGGGGCCTCTGACTGCCAGGGGTCTCGGGGGCCTCAGACCACAAGGCTCGAGATGGCTCAAATACTTGAGATAATCCATTGCAGATGTAAACATCAGCTGAACAAATAGCCCTTGAACATGTACAAATGACAAACTAAGTGAAGAAACATTACCTTTTCTCAAGCCCCTTTTCTGTTTTCAATTATTGTTGACAGATGCTGCTGTTGCCACTGAAACTGGGATGTTAGCGTTCACTCTTCAGTTCGTGTAGGACTACTTCTGTTTTTGTATTATGACACAGATTGGCTTGAAGTGTTCTTGACAGAAATATATTACACAAAAAACTGTTTGAATTCTTCAAATTCTTACAATGTATACGTAGTAGAACATTGCGCATTAATGATGAATAGTTTTCTTTATTTTTTTAACACAAAAATAAATATTTTATCAGTGTTGCTGAAAGTGGACATAACCATGAAATATTGTTCTTTCTCACCTTTCTTTTATTGTTATCATATTCAAAATATGATAAACATAAAAAACGTAATGTTCATCTACGTTTTTTGTGTTTATCATATTTTTGAATGGTGCATAAGGTTCCAACAACAGTAAAAGTGGTCGTATTTTGGGTCACTTCTGTGAGGTTCCTTTGTAAATAATGTACAGTGGCACAAGTAAACACAAAATCACATTCTGAACTGACTAACCAATGTATGTTGGTTATGTATGTTCCAGTATGACTGAAAACAGTATGCTAGTGTGGTTAAGACAATTTCATCATATTTACAAGTCATATTTACAAGCTGGTGCTAAAAAAGTTGTATGTGTTGCAGCTATATTTCAAACATTGAAGCACTGAGATCAAAATTGCATAGTAATACTTCTAAACAATATGAATTCCAAAAGTGAAACAACAACAATTTAACTGTGGGGAAAACAAAGGACGTTTTCATTTTCTAAAATGTACAAATAATTAATTTTCTTCAGAATAATTCAGATTCCCAACAAGGGGGCAATTCAGTAGCATTTTTGCCATCACAGAGAGAAAGGAAACCCAAACTAGCAGCAGCTAATGGATGCATGTATGACAAAATAGTTTATTAGCTTAACTTTTTTAGCACCGGCACTACCTGTCACATTTACAATTGTATCATATTTACAAACACACATGCCACACATATTTTAAAGAACTCTATATTTCATTTTGTTTTATAATAGTTTCTCAAGCTAACAACAGGTAACTAGCTGGCTAGTTTACTAGCACAGCTTGGCTAGCAGGAACACAACACTAGCATGAAAGAAACACATAAATGTATCTGCAGTTCATTTTTATGAACAAATACATTCATTCATACAAATACATTTCATTATGTTTGATAATACCTTAGGCTAACAGTAACTAAGTAGCTAGGAAAGGGTTGTAATTGTAGTTACATTGAGTTCCCAGTTCCTTTTTTTTGTGTTGTGTAATTGAATTCTGTCCTGTTGGTTTAGCACCCAGACAGCTTTGCTGTTGCTCACGTCTCTTACTTTCAAGCTTTAACACTTTATTTCAGACAAATCTTAAACCAAAAAGAGAAGAGCACTTAACAAACTTTACTTCCTCTGCTGACAGATTTCGGACGTGCGTCTGCAGTTTAATGAGAAACTCAGTTCTTTTGTCCTGACACTTTTTATGACTCCTATTCATGTTGTTTTTATTATCTACTTTTATTTTTTAAGTCACTATTTCACTGTTGATCACTGCAGTGTGGCTTTATGCAACTTTGCGGCAGTCTTTTCTGTTTCTCTATGTCGTGTGGCTGAATGGCCACTAATACATGAACCCTTTTTGGTGTCTGATTTATAAAGTGTCTTTTGAGAAGCACCTAGATATAATTCCATACAGCCTTTAAGGCTTCTCTACACCGTAGCCCTGGGGAGCTTTTGAATCATCTTATCTTTTCATTACACTTGAGGGATTAGTGGCTTGTTCAATGGCGCAGTGATAGAGAGCGAAGGAAGGACAGGAACATTATGACCTGCAGCTGTGCTCCAGTCTGAGGCACATTAACACTGTGGCTCTGTCTGTGACCTGCCATTGTAACACTGGTGATTATAACATTGTACATTTACAAGGTCTACTTATTTACAGACGTGTTATGCACTTTTTTGGCTTTGAAACATCTTATCATATCATCTTGTCTGCCTTGGTCTGGACTGCAGGCTGCAAAGACGTCTGTTTGGATTTACAGTCTAGAAGAAATGTTAGCAAAATGAAATGAAAATATAAGTAAATATATAGAGGGTTCTGATTGAAGTTGTGATGTTCTGAATTGGCTTTTGTTTCTAATTGTTAATATTCGTGAACTCACTAGGTGGTGAGCCAGATCCTCAAGCGTAGTTGTGCAAACTCCAAAGCAGGTTATGCTCAACTGAGTATGGTAGTTGTAGTCCATCATATGATTTCAACACTAGATAATGAATACAAATGTTTGTAAGCAAAGTACCGAAAGACAAAGTGCCCAAATGTTGTTCACTCTGGGTCTGTAATGTCATATTTAAAGCCAGCAATAATGTAAACAATTAATAAAAACTCACATATTAAGTAACACAAAGCTTTACCTTAAGGTAATAACCTATTTCACCAAACATGCATTTGTGAGCTCCTGCTGCTTTGCTGCTAGTATGATGGCAAAAATGCTACTTCATTGCTAATAGCACCCCACCAATGCTAACAGTTATTTGAACATTTTACAAAAGGAACATTAAAATTTAAACCTTATGTTTTTCTACAGTTAAATTGAGAAATTGTTCCATCTTTTGGAAGTAATTCTTTCTATAATTATTATTATGCTACTATAACACTTTCAGCTGTTTATAGCACAAGTGTCACCTGCTCAAAAAGTGTAAATACAGCCCTGCAAGTGGAATTAAAGCATAGAATAGTTTACCCACATATCTAAAAAGGCATTATACATGTTAATACACAGTAACATGCTTAAAATGCATTTAAGTTTGTTATGTTTGGAAACAAAATGTCAAACCAAGTGGCATTTATTTTGAAAAGACCATTCCAAGACTCCCACTGTCTTTCTGTCAAAAGGCAGCTGGTGTGTTTCAGATTGATATTACTTGAGCAGATTCTTAGCAGACTTGTGCAGGTCTGTGATTTACTCTTCACTCTGTACTAAGAGCAGAACTCTTTTTGGTGCTATATAGAACCAGTGGTGGTTCTAGAAAATTTTACCAGGGGTGGAAAAGGGCTGGCAGTGTTAAAGTGTGAGGGGGCCGAGGTAGGGCAGTGGTAGGGAGGGATGGACATTGTTCCACTGATCGCCAATATCCAGTTCCCTCTCCACTTAAAGGAAAAACGAGACAGAAGAGAAGTGCTCATATGTGCAAGCGGGGGGTGGGTCGCGAGTGGCGGGTGGTGAGTTGTTCCGCAGATATCAGAACAACTCTTGCCTAACAGGCATAAACAAGCCAATCATGTATAATGTGGCCAATCAGATTTCAAGAAAAACATTGGCCTCCCCAGCCATCCCAACCACCCCTTTAAAACCACACATATATAGAACCATATACAAAAGGTTTCCCATCATAGAGACTGTTGTTCACAGCTGTATACATCACTGTTGCTTTTAGTAAAGAACGCTTCAAGAACCATTTTTAAGGGTATACCTTTGGCACAATCTGGTTGGAATCTTTCTCTAAGTTTTCTCCAAACAAAAAAGTCTACCATCAGTTTGATGTTGTGCTACAAATGATTTATTAGTACTCTTTTTGAAATACCCTTAAGAACTTCATTAAAGTTTGCATACATTTAAATGGTTTGGGTGCCCAAAACTTTCATGGTCCCACATATTCTGTGAGTTGTAATGTGTAAAGTGTCCTGCAGGGTGCAGTATGCAGTTTTAATAGACTATTTGATGTGATGTGAGTGATCAGTAGGTGGCAGTAGACTGATGTGTCTGTTATTGTGTGTCTTTTTCAGCCACACCCACTCATCATCATGGACACAGCTGTTTAAGACTGAGAGTGTTTGTGTGCTGCTCTACAGGTGAGTACTATCTCTCTCTCTCTCTTTCTGGTTACCTAGACTTACATATGTCTCTCTCTGCCTTTTTCTCTCACCCTCTCACTCTCAGTCTCTCTCTCACTCTCTGTGTACACAACACTCTCACAAAGTCACTGATAATCCACTCAGAAGAGGCACTCTCAGCCATCGTACTCTATGTGTTTGTGAGAGCATATAAGTGTGTGTTTGTGTGTATGCATCCTACAGAGTCCTTCAGTTTCCTCTACTCTTGCAAACTAAAGACATTCCTGCAGTTGATGTGAAATGTTCTAGAAATATAATAAACACTATGAGCTTAATGGGCTGCAGTATTACTCAGTGTCAGTGCTGTGAACATGTATTAGAAATACAGCAGTGGCCTTTTTAGATTTTTTTTTTTTTAGATTTTTAGTTCATCCTTCCAGGAGCTGGAGTTTTAAAAGCCTGTATTATAGAAACAGTGCACAGTGTAGGGGTGGGCATTATCCCAACATCATATTAACAATACAAAAAACTGTCGATAAGATTATAACGATAAATTGTGCTGCTTTTCTGGGAACATGTTTCTAAATCACTGACAAACCTCACCTTTTATTAAAAAAGATTTGGCCAGAGCTCCCACAAGGCAAAGCTGTCTAAGATGGTACGCTGTTGTTGGGAGTTTGAGAGTGACACTGCTGGGTATAATGCTATGATGTTATAGAAAAAAACCTGTACTCACTGTACTGTGCTTGAGGTACACTTTTTAAAAAAATGGGCCCTACTGGTGCATTGTGTCTGTCCCAGTGGATCAACCCCCAGAGAAAAGGTTGTAATGTGTATCATATATCGTACAATGTCTCATGACTCATCGTTTACCTCTTTGCCATATCATCCATCTCTAAGACAGTGTTTGTTTACAAGCATTTATTTCTTTACAGCAGTCGGGTTGATGTTCTAATTGTCTTTCTTTTCTTTGACAGTTTCACATGCAGATGACGACTCAGACCAGAGCCCTCCTGACTACACAGTCAGGCCCAAAATACACGACATTGGTGAGTGCACACACACACACACACACACACACACACACGCACTCTTAACTCATCATATATCAATATTCTCATTGACTCTCTCCTCTTTCTATCTTTCTGTTTCTCATCTCTCTGACTCCTTCTCTCTCTCTTTCTCTCTCCCTCCCTTTTGTGTCTTTCTCTCTGTTTCCCTCTCTCTCTTTTGCTCCCTTTCTCTCTTTCTCCTTTGTGTCTCTTTTTGTTTCTCTTTTCTCTGTCCGTCTCTTTTTCTTTCTCCTTCTCTCAGTTTCTCTCTCTCTCTCTCCCTCTCTCTCTGTACTAAATGGTTTTAGTTTGAGGTGCCGCTGCTGTTGTGTCCACTAAGCGAAAAGCAAAGCGTCCTCATCACACACACACACACACAGCTTCAGTTCACATGAGGACCACAGGAAAGCCCTCACCCCCCCACCCCCACCCACACCCACACCCACCCACACCCATCACCCCCAAGCAAAATTAAATGGCATAACACTTGGCATTCTGGGAAGTCAAAAGGCACCATGCCTGTGTGTCTGATTGCTTTATGCAAACAAACACAAACAAAACAAGCAGCGCAATGTCCAGTACAGGTCGCTCCTTGTGTGCTTGGCATTAAAATGGAAACTGATTCACATATCCATATCTGACCTCTCTAAGTGCTTGTATAACCTGTGTGACCCTATTGTGCCCCTATACTGCCTGCCCTCCAGCAAATCGCATGACCTACACATACGCTGTGTGCTATGCTTTATACAACATCAGACATCCATAAAACTTTGGAAGGTCAAAGGGTCAGTAACACTCTGATGAGTATAACGGCTTACAGAAGCAGTTCATTTTTCTCACGAGGATTCATGAGGATTTGAGTGATTTGTTGGTGCATCATAAACCAAACATACTGTCACAAGAATTTACAAACACAGATTTATTAGAATGCTGAAAGCATCTTTTAAGGATGATCTTCTTTTTCTTCAATGGGATACATCACATCACATGACATTTATTAATGTGATAATTACACAGCAAACACTTTTACGTTCTTCGTTCCATTTATTCTGGATGGTGTTATGAGCAGCCTACAATAGCTATGATAGACTGTGCAGATGGTGTTTGTACCAGCCTGTACTGATGATGTCTGCATAAAGATGTGAGTCAATAGATTATAGAGATTTGCATTCATTTATATGGAGAGCTGCCTTCATAAAGACAAACAAATTGATAGATGCTGAGGGATGCAGAACTTTAGAGCTAACAAACTCTTTGGAACCACTTTGCAGATAAAATCACTTAATTCCACCTCGCTGGTCAGATTAGTTTAGCATCTGTTTGCCTGCAGATGTCCTTGCAGTTCTGCTTCCAGGTTGTTCTCCCTCATCAGCCACTTTATTAGAAACATCTGCCTTGTAGTTCCAACTTGCTAGTGTGCAGTTTGACTGTAAATTGTAGCCTGTAGACTTTATCTGTTGATTAATTTTGGTCATCATCCTCTAGACCTTCATCAGTGGTCAGTTTCTGACCACAGAGACTCCTTTGGCTGGATTTTTTTTTTTTACTTTCAGCCCAGCAGTAATACTGATGTGTGTAAAAACCCCAGAAACACTACCATGCCTCTACCATGTCAGCAATACTGCTGCTCTGAGAATGGCCACCACCTAAATAATATGTGGTCAACAGTGTTTCTGTAGCCAGTAATTCACCATTGATGAATGAGGTTTAAAGTCAAATTACACATTTTGTTGATTTTCTATGTGAAAATGAGCTAACACATCCTCTACCGGGAACAAACTAAAATATGGCCATTTTCTCCAAATTTTAGTGCACAGTGCTAGTTTAAACATATTGCAGAAACATAAAACATGTGCCATAACTTTTGCACAGCCCCCCCCCCACCCCCAACATGTAAATTCAGCAAATAAACGTAATTGTTCATTAAAATATGCAGAAGTCTGTTCTCTGTAGAGGATGTCATTTGATCAGGGGTGCACAAACTTTTGCATACAACTGCAGTATGAGTGTAAACACAGTGTATCAGATTGTATCGTTCCTCTCCATTGAGTACACACAGGCATCGAACTACACATTCCACTGTAGCAAATAACGTACTCATTTTAATACTGATTGCATTGCGTAAAGTATAATTAATATAAATTAAACAAACAGGTGCACAATAAGGGCAGACTGTCCCTCACATCTTCCCCACCTCGAAATCAAGAGCAAGAAGGAAGAGCATGTTCCTCGTACGCATATCGTCGCTGTCGGAACAAATTATCATATTCCTTACTGTTAACTTTACAAGAGAAGGAAAAACAGTCTAAACTTGTAATGGAAGTTAACGTAATAAGACTTTTTTCTTTTTATTCTGGACTTTGCTGTTGGTCCACTCATCATGTAATTTTAGCACAATGCAAAGCGTAGTTTTCAAACTCTGCAAAAAATGTAAGAAACTACAAAAATGGAGATTTTTACATGATAGCGACGGTATTTTGGCTAAGGGCTAATATATTAGCGTGTGGCTAACACAGTATTCTAAAATATTGTACTTTTTTGATGTTGAATACTCTAATAACTTTAACACTAACATATTGACATAAGGCAGATTTTCAAGCACTTCATAGTTGTGCTATGTCTTTTCTTGTTCATTGAAAGTCAGTACAAGCCTAAAGTGGACAAAATTAGCCATCCTCTTTCCTAGCTTTGCTTGGTTTGCAGTTAATACTCACACAAAGGTCTACAGTTACACAGATTCATGCGTGGAGTAAAGCAAAGCAACATGAGAGCAAAAAACACTTCTGCTTTTTAGTTTCTGCAGGCATCCATGTAGAATTGACTACATAGCTAACAAATACACCAGCATTACTCAGCATTGCTCTCCAAACATGTTGGAGCACCAAGTTAGAAGTTAGAACTATTTAGTTTTCACAATGATGTCTTGTTTCAGTGAATGCAATTACTGCTTTCATTTATTCAAGTCAAGTCAAGAGGCTTTTATTGTCATTCCATCTGTGTGCACAGTACACAGTGGAGCGAAATTTCGTTCCACCAGGACCATGGTGCAACTGGGGATGCACGATGATGTCAGATTTAAATCAGCATCAGCAGACAATTTTATATCTAAATTTTATATCTTGTTTTTAGATCTAAAATTTGTGGACATTGGACCAATGTTTAGTTCTGACTGATAATTCAAACCAATATTTGATGATGCATTTAACATATTTATTGTATTAAGCAATGCTTATAATAATGAGCAGTAAACTAATAACATATCCTTTTTGATTACTGTTTATTTATTACTACATACATATAGTGTTATTAGGGATGCACTGATAGGGGAATAATCAATACATTAAATGCATAATCAAATACAAATTTGAAATACATGTCAAATCTAAACTCAGGTCACTGAGATGCCATAGAATCACCCTAGTAATCACCTTGGATACTATTGCAACTATCTAACCACAGCCTAGCAACCACCATAGACACCATAGAAACTACTTAACAACAGCTGTGAAATCACTAATAATAATAATTAGTAAACAAATTGCAAAAATGTATTTATTACTGTTTATTTATTACTGTTTATGTAGCGGTATGGATGTTTGAGTCTATGTGAGATTACTTAACAACTTGATGCAGGTTCGGACACATGATGATTTAGATATGCAATTTGTATCATTAATTGAATTATTAGCTTACCTTTTAGTGCCATTAACCTCTTAGCATTAATGCAAAACTTCAGAAGTGTCCTGGGTTGACTAGAAATGTGGTAAAGGGGAAATTATGTAAATAGTTCCTGATAGTGTTAGTACACCTCTTGTATAATTACAATGGAAACATCTCATAATGAGGTTTCTTTTGAAATCACAAGTTGTTGTGATGGTGTTTACAGTTCAGTGAGAGTGGCCTAACAATAATTTAAGCAAATTTATTAACAATAACCCTCACAAAGGCACATGAGGTGTGTGCATGTGAGTGTTTGAGTGTATTTGTGTGTGAGTATTATTCTAGTCAGACACCAAGACTGTGTGATTGACTAGGACGAGTCGAACTGGTCCACTTGGATTTTTACATATGACAGGCGACGATAACAAAATTCCTTTGAAGCCACACGACTGACAGATAGACACATCTATGACAGCAGTAATTATGTTTATGTGTGTCTGTTCTTAAGAATAATAATAATAATAGTCATAGGAATAATAATATGTTTTATTTATACAGTGCCTTTCCAAGCTTAGGGTCACTTACAAAACCAATGGTGGGAAAAATACAAAGATACAACAGACATCACAGCAAGTACTAAGATAACAAAAGTAAAGAAAAAAAAGCAATAAAAATGCAAATGTGTTTTAAATTTAAATGTTCCTAAAATCCTGCAGTGCTGTGCAAAAGTCTGAGAACCCTTTGTTTATTTAACACAACCTTAACTTCAACCCTGACTCTTCACCTACTCCTAAACCTAACCCTTACCATAATGGTGTTGATAATCAACTATCACCAGAATGTTTGTTAATAATTTAGGTGGTAACACTTTATTTGGATGGTCCACTGTAGATGCTTTGTAGATGCTCAGTTTATCTTTAACTAACATTCAACTAAATATCTATTAAATGCAACTGAAGTTGTGTGTGAAATGTTCTATTAAATCTAACCCTAAACCTAATCGTAACCTTAACCTCAAGGCAAAACCTACACCTACTCCTAGACCTTATCCTAATTTAATGTTGTTGATAATTAACTTTAGTATCACCAGAAAGTTTCTTAAGTTTGTAAGTATCTGTAGATGATCTATAGGGGCCATCCAAAGAAAGTGTGACCATTTAGATTTTTGTAGGTCATCAAGTGTGACCATTATTTTTTTAACATTTTTCCTGTTTTTCCGCTCATTTTATTTTTTTGTTTTTCCCTGTGCTTAAGCACGTCTAACCTCCTTAGAAATATGTCCTTAAAAACTTGTCCTTAATGGCTGTTTTAAAAGGAAACTATAAAAATGAAGGGTCTCAGATTTTTTGCACAGTACTGTACATCAACTATATTCACCACTTACTGATAGCATCTTCTGGTGAACCTATTATAGATAACTTCTCTGTTCCCTATCTCTCATTCCTTTCTTCATGTTTCTCTTTTGCCATCTGTCTCCTCTGGTCTCTCTTCCTCTATTATGCAGTTATGTAGATAAGCACTCGCCTCTCTTGCTCTGCTATCGCTTTTATCATAACCAGAGCCCGACAATGCCTGAGCCAGTAATAATACAAGGAATGAAGGGATTTCTAACTAATGCATTTTATCTTGCTTATATTTCAAAGGCAGCTGTAAGGACAACAAAAGGCCTAGTACTGTGGCCGTCTAGGATGTGATAGCATTATTCAAAATGTAGAAGTGTTTATGTGCCCTCTTTTGCACTTTTCCCTCTGTCTATCTTTGATTTGCGAGATAAAATATGTTCCATTTATTTATTATCTCTCTCTTTCTCTCTCTCTCTCTCTGTCTGGCTCAGATGAGTTTAACCCCAAGATTCCCAAACTGGAGAAGAGCGTCAGCGGCAGCAGTCCTTCTCGAGACCGGCTGTTGATCACCGTGGCAACATTGCTCCTAGCAGCCCTCTTTGTCTCCTAGCAACTGTATCCGGTATGGCATGGCAGAGCCAACCTTGGGATCAATCCAAGTGAGGGATCAATCAGAGAATAGCGAAAACTAGTAGAACTTTGATAGGGAAACTTAACTACAGACCTTCTGCACCCAAACAGTGGCCTTTGGCACAGAGAGTTGGACACCTACCGAAATGAATGGAATCAAAATGCCGGCACTTGGATGAATGAACCTTGTGAACTTTGCCTTTTTGATGAAACATCTACTCTATCTTCTCCCTAAGATATAGACAGAAGAGGAAGACCTCGAGTGGAACACCGAAGGCTTTCTCCTCCAGCTGTATCTGGATTGTAGTGGGCTCTTTGGATCTCATGCTGCTTGTACAGTTCTCCAATTCTTGGACTTGCCAAGTTATGCTGACAAAATAGCTACATCTACTGCAGGACAGTCAAGCTGACAGATTCAAGGAGCAAGACTCAGTGGCCATTTTTGCTGCTTCTCAGCAACATGGCTTCTGTTTGTAATGGAAATATATAAGCACCTCTTAGTCATCGCTTATGTGTTTCTTGAACTGGAATGACTACGTTCAGCAGCTCAGTGTGAAGGTGGCCATCAGCTGCTGATTTAAGATGAGCAGGAAGTTCATGAACCTACTAAGTTCAAACATGCTGATCTTGGATCAGCAGCCTGAGGTCCGTCCTGGGTCACATTACCATCCTTGTGTGGCATGTTTTGACCAAAACACTCCACTGTCTGCGTATCCTCTTTCCACCACACGTCAGAAGAAACTGAGAATTGAGTCAGACTTGTTGATAAAAAGGAAATGAGCCTGTGATTGGCCCGTGCCTGAGAAGGTATGTCACTGTTTAGTGTAGCGAGCCTTTTGTAAAAGCGTGCGAGTCGTAAACTGCAGTTCACCGTTTTATATCGTAGAATTGCAGCACGGAATTCCTTTCTACTGTACAGTTCACATTTAGCAAAATCGCTTCATTCGCATATCATTGGTGCTTTATTTATTGACCCACAGTATTTATTTCTGGTTTTGTGAAGGTTTGTTTTCCTCAGGGGTTCTCCCAGAAAGCGAATCCCGATTTTGCCAAATACCAAAATATTTTGTTTGTTTGTTTGTTTTGGTGTGTTTTTGTTTCTTTTTTTAGGTCTCATACATGGAAATGTGCCAGCTATTTCAGCTCATCATTGTGAAATTTCACCAAGCCAGACTGACAGGAAAAAAAAAGAAAAAAAAAGACTAAGATTACTTTAGTACAGTTAATGCATTTAGGACAACGCTCTCCCGCAAGAGTTAGGGCTGGTTTAGAGGAACGTAAAGAACTGAGTTTGGAACAAAAAAAGAGCTTTGCTCATATTGCTGCACTACCAGTCTTACATACAACTTCAAGAGCGCTTCGAGTGTGTGTTTATATGTGTGTACGTGTGTTACGAGTGTGCACTTTATGGCGGACGCGTGCGAGTGAGTATGCACATTTTAGCATTTTCGTATTTGTTTAGGTACACATTTGTAGGTTTTCAATATGCAAGCGTGTGTGAGACAGCAAGAGAGTTTTTGTGGGGGGAGGTGATACTGAAAGCATTTATCGTTGGGAACAACAGTACCAGTCGTGTTTACCTTTGAGTAGAATGACTAAACCATGTCAAGAAATCATGAATGATAATGAGAATGAAATTGACAATAAACCATTCTACTTTTAACTGGCTTCTGTCTCATTCAATCAGTGCCTACAGTCATCTGTTAGCATTGCCAAGTAGTATTTTCTTAGGGTTCGGCCAATAAGACACTTTTGTGATATCATTGTCCGTTGTCAACTGTGAATTGTGAAATATAGTGGGGTCAAAAAGTCTGAGACCTTCTCTTTTGCATTCTTTTTCAGAGGAGGACCAGTTATGTAATATTAGTGTGTTATTTGACTGGCTGATTTGGGATAAAGGATCTGTGTAATTTAACTAAATTACCCCAAATAGCCTGGGTTGAAACATCATTGCACTTCAGCATTATGCGACAGTCACCACACTTCCGCACAATAACAGCATGTTGTGCGACTAAAAAACCCAAAACACAACACTGGATGAGGGAGGAGACTTTACATCTCATTGTGGGGTGACATCTGTTATCAACAGCAAATCAAAATGATTGTGCATAATCATTGTTATTATTGTTGATTTCAGTAGACTTGTCTTGAGGATTAAGGAACTGGGTCAAATCCAGCTCCATTTTAGCTGTTAGCCTGGTCTTCAGATCACAAATTAAGAAAAGAAAAAAATTGCTGCACCTTTTTCTATTACCTGGTTTTGTTATTTCATTACTGGTATATTGATTTGAACAGGACTGCTATTACTGAGGGAGCTCTGACTTCACCAAAGTATCGAAGAATTATTACTTAGCAGGCTTGTAAAAACTGCAGACATTGCAGATTCATACTGGATTAAAATCACAAATCTTGTTGATAATCTCTCAAATTACAGAACTTGTCCAAGTAAAACTAAACCAAATAGGGCTTAATACAATTTTTTTCATTACAAATAATATCAGCATAACAATTTGAGTGAAAAGTTAAATTCTTGAAATATTTCAGAATTTTCTAGTGTTCTTCCCTTTTCTGATTTACTCTGATCACTAACGGTGACAAAAGCCTCTGATTAGTATGTCAAATCCACCTGAGAGTCATCTGAACACAAGCTTCAGTGGCAGGAAAAAGAAAAAAAAAATCGGACCATTGTCTGATCATGGTCAATTCACAAATTTGCTTAAATTTGAACAGTGACCAAGAAATAGTGCAGAATCTTGAATGTTAAATCTTAATTTTGTTTGTTAGAACGTTTCTTTGTTTTAATATTTTCCAAAATCTCAAACTTTATTTCCAGTATTAAATGAAAACCATCCCAGGTTTTCAGTGTGGTCTCAGACTTTTGAACGTGTGATTGTCACTTCTCAGTGTTTCTCACAGTCTTAAATGGACCATGTCCTCCATTGATCTTGTATTTTATTTTCTCCCTGAGGTCCACTTTTCTTCGCATTTATTTACCAAAAGCAGTCATTCATTTTTAATTACCATTGTCTATCATCTCTTCATCGCTTAGGATTAAACCGGCTGTTTTTGCCACTGTGTCTTTAGGGTATATGGAAATGCCTCTATTCTAATTGGCTGCTCTGTTTTGTGTCTCATTCAAGAAGCAGTCCTGGCAGGAACACTCCTTATAACTTTTACAATGGATGCTTCAAGCTAAACTGCTGTAGGCTTAATAGGCTGACATATGTAAATATCACAATATCACAACAACAATAAATTTAAAATGGGCTATTTTAGCAGCAATCTCCATACAGGGATTGTGTGGACTGTGGCAGAACGAGTACATTTTGAAACTTTAATAATGTTTAAATATTACATCAAATTTCATACAAACAAGGAAAAATCAGTTTTCATGAAATGGGCCCTTTAAATAATAGAAATGCTGTAGCTCTGGGGTGGTGCTGGCCAGAATTCTTAGCGCTGCTTTCTGTTAATTAACTCTTATTAGGACTACAAGCACCCAGTGCTGGAACCCCATTATGATTGTTAAGATTATTCTTCTTCTTTATCCGCTTCTTCTTCTTCATTATTAAAACTTATATAGCTCTAACTCAGAAACACTTAAATCAAAATTTAATTCTGTGTTGAGAACCAGGTTTTAAAAGAATATAAGGTCTAATTTCTCAGGTTTATTGCCAGTGAAAACTTTCGGACTCTCCTGTTCATCATGAGATTTGTGATAACATCTGGATTTGAGAAAGAGTTTAAAGAGAAGAAGATTCAAAATAGAAAAAAGTGTTTTATTCTATAAACGTTTCTGTTAATACTACAAAATTACTGTTTGTGAATCTGCTTGTGAAGAAATCCAAGACCATTTCCAGTTGTACAGAATATTGGTTTGACAAGTTTTGAATTGAATGATAATAGTCTTGGATTTCTTCACAAACAGATTCACAAACATGTGACATTTGTTAAACATAACTCATATATTTCTTCTAGATTTTTTCCCATAAATGTTGAGGACATCTTTTTATTAACTTTGTCTCATCAACAGTATGCTTTAGCTTAGGATGCTTGACTGTGGGAGTTTTTACATTTCAGCTGTCCCATTTTAATTTCATCATTTTCATTGGGGTAAATGTGTTGCTTGTGAAAAGTAAACATATGCTTCATAGGGAAGTGATGGATTGGTTGTTGGGTTTATGTTAACCTGTGTTCTCATGAATATGTGCAAAATCTTGCTATTGTTTTGTCTCAAATGGAAAAGAATATGCGATTATGGCAGTGATGTGCCCAACACCGTGGTTAGTATGCTACTATTGTGGTGCTGCACAGCCCTCATGTAACCTGCTGTGATATCGTAAAAACATCCCTGAACATCCAAAAAAAAGCAGCCTGGTTGAAGCTGGGCTGATAATCTTGATGATCTGGACCTGCTAAGAGCTTATTATTGATTTGTTTAACCAGAGTGAAGATAAAATATTCCTATTTGTTTTTTTTTTCCTGTTTAAAATGGTAGCTTGAAACAAACTGAATGAAAAAAATAGCTTTGTTAGATCACAATCTTTACATGTCAGATAAATTCAGAAACTGTGTTTAAGCATTATGAACAGAAAAGAGCAAACAGCATTTTTTTCTGTTTGCCTTAAAGGGGAACTCCACCAAATATTCAAAATTTCTATATAATTAAATGGCTGAGATGTAAACCATGTCTTTCACAGTAGTTTGATGTGAAATGCTCTATTCTAGAGAAACACACTAAGTCAGAATTGTTCACACTGATGGTGTTAGGAACTAGACATCTGAAAAGTTTGATGCCCCTAAAAGCATCCTAACAGAAAGTTAATACACAAAGTGATTATGAGTAATCTGCCTATTGCCTAAGACATTGTTTATAATAGTTTTGTTTTACAAGCATTTTGGCCTAAAACTTTTTGTTAATCCATTCATGGCGAATACATGCAGGGTATTGTACAGCAAAATAGTCCTGCAAAACATTTCTTTTAGATTTTCCACTATTTTACCAACATAAACATAACATATAAAAAACTTATGTAGGTTTATTAAGGGCTTTGGATAGTAAATAAAATGGTTATATTTGTATTGTAGACATTGTGACCCCTGGTTCCTATCACCACCACTGTTAAGAAATCTGTGTCTGTAGCTTTCTCTACAACAAGCCATTTTACATAAAACCACTCTGAATGACCTATTTACATCGCAATGACAGAATTATGTAAAAAATTTTGAACATTCAGTGGAATTCCCCTCCAAAGGATTAACAGTGGGCTGTGGTTCCAAGTTCGCTTAAGTGTACCTTTATTAAGGGAACATAATTGTACCATATTCCGCTGCTATCATTATTATAAGTTGGACTTAAGTTGACATATTTATTGTTCTTTTTAAAAAAGCTAGGAAAAGGTATAAGTATGCCTATTGTCTCATGGGAAAGTTAATATAGTGCACTTTTAAACCTCTTTAAAGTATACATTTGGACTTTGAGGACTATTGTACATTATTTGGACCTTGAGGGAGACAGACTTACCTGTACATTACTCTTTTTCTGACAGTGCTCAAGTGCCTCTGTGTGAGAATGCCACACTTGTTAGTTAACAGCATTGTTTGCAACTATGTTTCTCTGTGTTTCAGCTCTGGGTTCCAGTGTGTGCATCATTTTACTGATCAACAAATGCCTTTGGTTTGGCTCATTGGATAAACCCGACTGGCGTTTCATTACAAGTTCTGTCTCTTTCTCAGTCTAGCCGACGCGTCTGTCTCTCGCTTCTTATCTCTCATTCTGCATTCTGATCTGACTGTCTGGCTTTTTTTCCCTCTGCCTTTGTTTTTCACCCAGACATACTTATGCAAATTCAAGAGCACGAGACGTACACACCGTACATCTGTTTACATCAACACACACTTGCTCACTCACAAATGCTTAGACATGAAAATGCATCAAAGCAGCTCATACACGTCCCTCCCTCCGCCTTATATTACAATGTGATTCAGTTAGACCACCCTAATGCAGTACGACTGAACACACACTGCATACCAGTGTCTCTTTTAACTCTACCACCTTTTCCTCTCTCTGTCTTTCTTTTTCTTCTTTCTCTCTCCCTTCCTCTCTCTCTCTCCATCTCTGCATCTCTCTTTTCTTTCTCTTTGTCTCTCTCTTTCTCTCACACTCTTTGCCTCTCTATTTGTGCCTCTTTTTTTCTTCTGCCTCTTTAAGTCTTTCTCACGATCTCGCTCTTCATTCTCTTTATCTCTCTCTCTCTCTCTCTCTCTCTCTCTCTCTCACTCTCTGCCTCTCTCTCTAATTTAGCTGCTCCTCAGATGAGAGGAGATAACAGTGACAATAGAGAGAGATGTACTGTCATGATAAAGTCTTACTGACTTTACCAAGAAACTCCCAGAATGAACACAGATACAAACAAAACAGATTACATATATAGCCTATTGTAGCAGTGTCTTTTTGAATTGGTGGAACTACAAAGATGACACCAGATTAGGCTGAAAGAAGAGTGCTACACTGTATGTCCAAAACGAATATATCCAGAGTATAATAAGCATGCGTAAAGTACTCTCTTAGCATTTTATTGCAGTGTTACTGATATTTGAAACTCTTTTTGGGTGCTGTGGCAACAACTGGCTTAGCTGGTTTATTATGTACACCTAGCTATA